TAAAATTAAAGATAAACATAAGAACAGAGACATGGGCCAAAATAAAGAATACATCACAGAAATGGATGAGTACTTACTACTATAATCTTCTACTCTCTAAACAAGGTTTTGATTATGGAGTCAACTACACCAATTTGAATGCATAAGAAATGAAGTTAATTTGTCAGATGGCAATCATACCTTTGTTTTCTGGGAAACTAAACCTGTGAAACAGCCATGGATTTTGTTTCTAAAACACCTTTTAGTAATTTGGCAAACTCTGTTAAAATTAAAAAATCAAAGAACATTTCTAGGCATTAATCCTACAGCTATACTCACAAAGTTGTACAGTTGTGATACAAGGATACCCACTAGGGGATTTTTTTGAAATACCTACTGCTTCATCCCAAGTATCTATTAACAAAAATCAAACTCATTGCTGTCAAGTCAATTCTGACTCACAGCCAACCTACAGGACAGATTCACACAGCACATAGGGTTTCCAAGGCTGTAATCCTTACAGAAGCAGACTGCCACATCCATCTCCTGCAGAGCAGCTAGTGGGTCTGAACAGCTAACTTTTCAGTTAGCAGCCAAATGCTTAACGACTGAGCCAGGAGGGCTCCTTTTTAACTATAAATAGGTGACTAAAAAAAGTAATATAGTCAATCAATGGAATATTATGTAGCTGTCAAAAACAGTGAACTACATATGTACTTATATGGAAAGATATCTATAACATATGTTCAAAACAAAGGACAAATTGGAGAATATAGTTAATGTGTGATCTCATTTGTGGGAAAATGCTCTCTCTCTCACACACACACACACACACACAAATACCAGGTATTTTAATTTGTCCAGGAAGAAAACAAAAAACATGGAGAAAAGAATAAGGCAACGGCACTGGAAGGGGGAATATATGCTTTTTGCTTTATATCCTTGTGTACTACTGAACTTTTCCCATAAGCAGGTATTATTTTTATAATAAAAACTAGCAAGAAAATATAAATGCCTAAAACCTACTTCTGTAGTGATACTGCCTTGGAAACCCAAGGAGGGGTCACTATGAGTCAGGGCCAACTCGACGGCACATAACAACAACAACAAAAACCTCCACATATTATGAACAATTCAAATTACAGGGGTCTAATGTACTATACATTTTATTTACAATACAAAAGAACTCAAATAATTTATGAATATCTACTTATTTTAGCCTAAAATATTTAAAATTCTTGAAATTTTATAGACTGGATTCATTTAGGTACTTGTAAGCTGTACTTTGCCAGGGATTTTCCAGTACTGCTTCAACAATCACCTCATTGGCTAAAAGATTGGTTTAGAAAAAATATTTCTGAACAGTAATTAGGTTCTAAGAAGGACGGTTACACCAAGAAGAAATTTTCTATGTAACTTCTGGCTTTGTAATTCCAACTATTTGCTTGTTTTCTTTTTCCACAAATACTATTTTTTAAATTTTCTCTTTCAGACTAGCAGGCACCTTTAACTTAATGTTAAATCTTTAACAAGGACACAGGCCTTAAGGAAATGTTAAGAAAAGGCCAAGTCTTAACAGAGACACACACACACACACACAAACCAAACTCACTGCTGTCAAGTCATTTCCGACTCATAGCAACCCCTACTTGGGCTTCCGACATGGCATCTCTATGGAAGTAGATTGCCCAATGTTCCTTCCAAGGAGTAGCTGGTGGGTTTGAACTGCCAGCTTTCTGGTTAGCAGTCAAATGTCTAAGGCACTACACAACACAAGCAATTGTTTTTTGTCTTATGACACTTCCTATAAAGATACCACAGATATCATTTAAAAAAAAAATGCTTTTAATTTATCCAAACCCATAAAATGGACACTCAGCATCTTCTAGTATGAAAGTCCTTATTCCAAGTATGGTTAATGAAATAGAGATCATACCTAACAGTATAAACATTTTTACTTTGGTTTCCTTTCCTAAAACTCTCAAGTTTCATTTCTGATCTCATTTATCTTTGAATATTCTCAGACTCTAGATTTCAAAGTCAAATGTAATATTATCCAATATCAAAAATTCACACCAGACTTTTTAATCTAA